CCGAGCAGGGAGCCTGATGCGGGACTCGATCCAGGGACTCCAGGATCATGACCTGAGCCGAAGGCAGTCGCTTAACCAACTGAGCCACCCAGGCGCCCTTAAATTTATATTTAAACTTAAAATAATTTGTGCAATACACAAATTAGTGAAATTCACACATTCCCATAAACATTAAAAGTCTCATATTACTCAGCAATTACTGGCAAATTATTTGGTTCTAGATCTCAACATTATTGCTTCCTGTAGGAGGCTTAGGATGGAGTTTGTCAGTATTCTTGGCAATATATTATACATACAGGGATTTGAGGCAACATAAAAAAATTAGCTTTATCATGCAAAATTTCCCATTTGAATAAATCTACCCAGTCACAAATGGAGAAAATGAAGATCTATAGGTAAGAAGGTAGAGGCAGGGTATGTGGAGTGTGTGATACATGTGCATATGTGGGGAATGTCTGTGTGGTGTGTCTGTATGTGGTGAGCATGGTGTGTGGTGTGTCTGTATTTTGTCTCTGTGCGTGTGTGTGGCATATATGTGTATGTGGTGTGTGTATATGGTATGTGTGGTGTGTGTGTAGAGTGTGGTGTGAGTGTAGAGCGAGTGTGTGGGTGTGTGATTTGTGTGTGCTGGTAGAAGTTTCCTTTACTGCAGAATCACAGACACTGAGAGTATAATTGTTCCCCCAGAATACCTTTCTTCCTTGGACCAAAAGACTGATGGTAGTGAAGAGGGAGGTATGTAAGAAGGAAATGAAGCAAGAGAAATTATTTCTAAAATTATTAAAAATTATAGCAAATATTTTCTTTTCTTTTGAGCTGTATAATTGGAGCTTAGGCAATTTTGAGGCAGGGAAGGGAGGATCGTAGTGTAGCTGAAACAGCAATGCAACTGATTCTATATCTCCTTCGGATCTAATATTGTTGGGGTCCCCGGGAAGATGGAAATAAAAATGGCAAAAATGAAAAGGGGGCAGAAGGACCCCCCAAATTGGGGAGAATAAAAGTTGCTAAATGGCTCTGCCTTCCCCTCCAAATATGGAGTCAACCAAAAATAGTGCACAGAGAACAGTGCACAGTGTGTGATGTTTGGCGCTGCCTAGACATTTTTGAAAATAATGGGTATTCATTTAAAAATTGTTGTGCTGACTTAAGCAGCAAATATACTAAAATTGGAATGATACAGAGAAAATTAGCATGGCCCCTGAGCAAGGATGACACACAAATTGGTGAAATGTTCCATATTTAAAAAAAAAAAAATTTAATAAAAAATTGTTAAATTGAATTATTGAGTTGGGAGGTCATATGTCTTTTAGATTTGATTTCACTTGTGACTGAGCTACATTAAAAGTATTGATACATGAAAGCGACCATTTAGACGCATACTTCTACCATGTAATGCACTTGAACATCAAGTGATAGAGCTCAGTAAATAAACTAAAGAAAATTACCTGGAAGTCTGTTCATGCTTCATATTAGCAATTTAGTCCGAAATATCCTTTTTGTCAGAAAAATGGGGTCAACTAACTCCCAGACCTAACCAGACCCGAAGGAAGGTTTTCTTTTTGACTTCATGTCACAACCAAGACAAGGTGAATATACCTTTTTATTCATGTGATACCTTCAAGGTCAAATTCTCCATGATCATCAAAAACTTAAAATGTGCTCTCATGTTCCATTTCCTGGATAAAAGAGACTGTGTGGTATGACTTCCTCTCCTTTCAAAGGACACAGCTGTTCCTCACATAATTTCCAAAAATTGTGTATGATAATGAAGCAAGTGCCACAGCTGAGGATGACCCTTATCATGGGCTGAGACAGAAGCCCCCAAACAAATGATTTGGGGAGAGGGACACAGGAGGGACTGGATGGCTCTTGGGCCAGGGCTGTAGAAATCTGTCTTCTTGTAGAAATTCTGTCTTTTGTTGCACTCTGAGCAAGGGGTCCCCTTCCTACATTTGCAGTCACCCACTGGGAATTCAAATTAAATTAGGTCCCACTTAAATTGGAGTTCTTCCCATTACATTAGCATTTGCATAATCTTGCCAATGTTTGCCAACTTGCTAATTAATAATAGGAGGACTTCAATAATAGTAGTGGTATGGTTAAATCATGTTTTATTGCTGTTCGATTTACCTAGAATGAGTCTATCAAAGGGTACGTCTTGTATGTATGTTCAGTCTTTATGCCAATAGGTACATCTCAGTTGGCAAACTTAATCCACCACTAAAGGTTGTTATTGCAATGACTTCTCCACGAATCTGAGGAAATGGAAATTAAAAAAAAAAAAAAAAAAAAGCATCGACGAAACTGACTTGTAAACCCCATTGTTTTTCTGATTCACTTATGCTGAAGTATTGCTCAAGAATGATTTGTCTCTTTAATAAGTAGCAGCAAAAACAAAGCTTTAGAGAATTAACGTAAGAGAAGGATAATTCTTTCTCAGGAATTATCTTCCCAGTAGCCAGACCGAGGCTGAAAGTATTTAACTTTCTAAGGCTGGTTCACCTTCCCATTACACAAAGCTGCAAGTACGTTCAGAAGTTGAAAAAAAAGAGAGTCTGAGCTGGAATTAAGTAGTATAACTTCTGGAAGCTGGAGCCAGATAGTTTTAGCAGTATGTTGGATTGTTTCTTTGACAGCAATATGACAGCTTTGTTTTATTTTATTTCTTTAGGTGCTTCTAGGATTACAGATATCCATGGATCTCACCCTCCTGCTATACATCTCCTCACATAGAGGACCTCCAGTTGGTCATAGCAGAAACCTTATTAAATGGATGAACGTAATACTTTTAAATCGGCTTAGTCTTTAGACATCTGTCATGCCACTGTATAATTTAATTGCAATAGAATTTGGATACATTCATTTTTCCTTTCATAGGTTTGAGAAGTCAGACGTGTTGTTCATCAATAATTACTCAAATCCATGGGAAGAAAAAACAGATTTCACCCTATATCCATGTGTCTCTGAACTACTACTATAAGTACATATGAACACAGCGAAGCCATCATCATCACAGTAGGGTTTTATCTTTCATAATCTATCCCACCAAAAAAAAAAGGAGACTCACAATTTCTCCCCACCTTAAAGGAAGGATCTGTTGAAAGCATAGTTTCGAGGTTACCGTTTTATTCAGATTGAACCATTCATTTAGTTTAAGGACGTCTATACACGTCTTCAGTCCTATTCCTAGGTTCACCAAGGTCAACAATGACGAACACAGTATCTAGTCAAACTGGCTAAAGAACCAAGCCCTATGAAAACAATAGGAGCAATGTTACAAATTTACAACTGCAGGAACTTTTCCCCCAGGGAATATATTTTTCAATCAACAGAGAACATCACTGTACCAAAAGTGGAGTTGCTGAAATCATGAAATCAGTCTCTGTAAATCCAGCAGCCATATGCTGAAGAGAGTTTCAAAGAATGGCCCATAATCCATCTGCGACATCTCATTTCGAGGAAACTGGACGTTGCGTTTGGTTGTGTAATGCTGGCTTCTCAGACTTGATTGGGATCTTAGCTGCCCCAAATCTTTTCCTCTCTCCGTGCCAAAGGGAAACACTACTGTGCACAAATCATGGAGTAGATGACATGCAGTTGTGCAGACACAAGCTACCAGTAAAAAGAAAAATGAGGGCCCTCAGCCAAGCTTTACCTTTGGCCAATATGCTCCTCCACTTATGTGTGCTTCTACTAATTGACTTTCTTTTCTGAGGAGAAACCTATGAAAAACAGAAGGAAAATGTTTCAGATTAAAAATTAAAAATTCATTTCTTCTGGCTCGGGGCTAACATAAACTTTGAGGCTGGCAAAAAAAAAAAAAAAAGAAATATTTTATTCATGAGCTTCCACAAGTTTACACTGAAAAATCAAGAGGCGGGAAATGGAGGGTTATTATTTTAAGCATTGACATATGCTTACCACTTTGTGAAATCAGCTGTGGCCTAGTTCTACTCATGCCTGAAGAGGAATATTCTGTACTACTTCTCATCTTTGCTGGCATTTTGGTGGCTCAGGCATTTGCTTAGGAAAGTAAGTCATATATGTTACTATTAGGTTTGGTACTTAGCCCACGGGAAGATAACTGCCACATAAACTACTTTAAGTATGGTGAAGGGAACATTATCATCAAAGTGATAGAAAAGATCGCAGCGCTTAAGATGTGTTCATGTACCATGAAGGCCAATGTGAGAGACATGGTATATTTCAGTAGGACTAAGATAGAATACCACAGATGAGCACTACAGGGAAGACACAATTGAAGAGAGCTACTCATGGTGACTGAAAAAATACATATAAATTTCAAGAAATAAGGTATTTTTCCATTCATGATAACAATTGAGAATATGTTAAATGTTTTATTCTTGCCGCCCTGTATTTGGTATTTCGAATAAACAAACATCTAAACTAACAGTTTCCTTCCAAGCTTAAAAAAAAATACTCTTCTAAGAATGGTGGCCATTACACTAAAAAGATACCTAATATGGTAAGAGCATAAATTTGGACCCAGAACCATAATCCACTGGACTTTAGATTTAATCCATTTATGATACCTACCCCTAGATATCTTAAAACTTTAAGAAAAATTAATTCCTTTGTAGTTTTCATAGCACTCTTGTGAAATAGGTATAGAGGTGAGGGTCATTATCCCCATGTTTTAGACGGAGAGGGGGTGTGACCCATGAGAGGATCCATGGCAGAATGGAAATGTGAACAAAAGAAAAAAACAGGTCTTCAGTTCCTTGAAGGGAAGGCGGGGCATCCCCAAGCAGTGAGTGTGGGAAGAGACTTCTGTCATCAGACTTGTCTCCATGGTTTGAATGGCAGGGCAAGAGAAACGCCACCAGGGAATCGTGGGTTCTCACAGTGCTAGACACAATCTGCTTTGCCTTATTGGTTGGTAAAGAATTCCACTCACTAATTGCATGCCTTATTATTTATTAATGGTATGCGTTACACTCTATCCCTTTATGTTCACAAGAGTGCACGTTAAGTACCATGACGCTGAAGTGATCTGAATAGGACCCAGAGATCTTGGTGGCAGAGTCCATGTCTGCCTCTACATCAGGGATCGGCCGAATCTAGAGTCCTCTACGAGGGGAGAGTGCACCAGTGCAGCAGACAGGTTCGAAGGGGACTCTGCTCTCTACATGCCCACTCACCTCAGAATGTGTATGCTTACGCATCAACAGTACAGAAACGTACGTAAGTAAACATTCTTCCCAGTTGGGATGCAATATCCAATAGAAACCTCATTTCCCAACAGATTTTTATTTTCCATTTAAGAGAAATAGTGCAATTTTATTCACCTAGTGGAATTGTGACTAGTCTAGCCTTATTGTGTGCATTTTTCTCATCTAGGTTCTATCTATCCACCTACCTACCTATATCTATCTATATAGAATGTTAATCAGAATGTTTAGTCTTTGCTTATAAATTGATGTCTGCATAGGAATATATTTACCACCTATATTTTCATATGTTCCTGGACATATAAATATACATTTACACTTTATTTAATATTCCCTTAGCAAAATCACTTAGCTTACCAATAAGCCGACCTTTACAGCATTATAAGGTGAGGATGCATTTCTCCTGCAATTCTTCTCTATAAATCCAGAAATAGACATAAAACTATCTGTCTCTAAATTTTGATTAATATTTTTATTAACTGCTGGTAAGATAAGTAATGTATTTTATAAAAGAAAAATATTCTTAATATTTTATCCATCTGTATTGAAAATCACACAAGTATAGTCTCTAAGTTTCTTCTGTTTCTTACATCTCTTAAGTAACTTCTACTATTTATACTGACTCCTACATCTCTTCATACTACTGAAAAAAATCCAACTAAGCCAGCCATTTTACCAAACTAAAATGATCTGTAATGTTCAGTTATAAAGACAATTATAAAAAGATGCAAACTGAGAAATAAAGATTCTGGCTTTCAGGAGAGGGCCATTAGAATTTATTTAAATAAAATACATCCAAATGATGACACTATTATATATATATATATATAT